GTGTTGATCAAGGCAGATTTTAGCAAGGCTTATGATACGGTCGATTGGAAGTTCCTAAACTTGATTCTCAAGAAAATGGGGTTCGGAAGAAGGTGGAGAAAATGGGTTCAATTTTGTATTTCTACTCCTGCTATTGTCGTCCTAGTTAATGGGTGCCCGTCAAAAAGTTTCACCATTAAGCGAGGTCTCAGACAAGGCTGTCCGTTATCGCCGATGCTCTTTAATATTGTTGGTGAGGCTCTTAACGGTATGATTAAGAAGGCTTCGGATCTAGGCATGTGTCGTGGAGTGGATGTGGGGGCTGCAGGTTTTTTTCTAACACATATTCAATTTGCTGATGACTTGCTCATTTTTTCTGATTCTAATTATTCGTCAATTCTAAATTTCCATCGGGTGCTAAAAATCTTTGAAGTGATTGCCGGTTTGAAGCTTAATAAGGAAAAGACTAAGTTATTTGGCATTAATGTGGAAGGTGGTCTAGTTAGGCGTTGGACTGAATCGATACGTTGTGGTTGGGCGGAGCTTCCTACGTCATACTTGGGTTTGCCGTTAGGTCGTCAGAAAAATTCTAAGTCTCTATGGCAACCCATTCTGGATAAAGTCAAATCTCATCTTCAAAGCTGGAAAGGAAAAATGCTCTCTTTAGGTGGAAGGTTAACTCTCATTAAGCCTGTCCTTGTTAATTTACCTGTGTATTTTATGTCTATTTTCCCGATGCCCGTTTCCATTGCTGATCAGATTAATAGATTCATAGCTAATTTTGTTTGGAATACCAAGTCTGGTAGAAGTATTCATTGGATCAAATGGGCTGATATTTGCAAACCGAAATCTCATGGGGGGTTGGGTATTTTTGATGTCAAATTAAGAAACCGTGCTCTTCTTAATAAGTGGATTTGGAGGTTTAGCGTGGAAGTTGATAGTCTATGGAGGAAGGTAGTGCTTGCTAAATATAAGTATGACCAAGATGCAATCATCCCAAAAGCAGTAAATATCAGAAATTCCTCTTGGGTGTGGCGTAATATTGTGAATTCGTCTGGGTCTTTGGTGTCTGACTTTTATGCTGATTTGAGGTGTGTCATGGGTAATGGGGATAAGATTGATTTTTGGTCAGATTTCTGGATAGAAAAATGTTCCCTAAAAATATGCTTTCCAAGAATTTTTAGTTTAGCAGTTAAAAAATGCGGTAAGATCAAGGATTTTGGATGTTGGGTTCAGGGTACTTGGGAATGGAGGCTTGCTATGAGAAGATCTTTATTGGATTGGGAAATACCAATTTGGGATGATTTTAAGCAGGTTTTAGATAGAGCGGTTAGTGCTGTGTATGGTCAGGATCGAGTCAATTGGACTGGGGCTCAGGATGGTGTCTACAGTTCGAAAGCTTATTGTTTCAAAGTGTCTGCTAATGGGTCTTTGGGTGATCCTTGTTGGAGGCTAGTTTGGTTCAAATTTGTTCCGCCTAAAGTTTCGGCCTTCGTATGGAAAGCAGTGCACTGTAGAATTCCGGTTTCGATTGAGTTGGTCAAAAGAGGTGTCAATTGTGGTTGACAGATTTCCTGCTCGTTTTGCAAGAGTGAGGAGGAAGCGATTAATCATGTTCTTTGCCATTGTACGGTAGTATGGGAAGTATGGAATCGTTGGTGTAGGGTGTGGAATATATTTCTCGTGTTTCCTAAGAATGTCAATCAATTGTTAGAGGTTTGGTTTGCACAGAGTATTAGGAGGAGAGTGCGGTCACTGTGGCGCATTGGTTTTATTGGTTTGATTTGGATAATCTGGTTATGTCGTAACAAGTCCAGATTTAATGGTTATTCGTTTTCTGCAGATCAGAATTATTTCAAAGCCTTAATTCAGATTGCGGTCTGGGTGAATTATTTATGGCTGATGTTAATTCCAGTGGCGAACGACTTTTTTCGGAATCCGGAAGCTATTGTTCGAGGTGTGTGCTAATGGCGATTCATGCTGTATCGTTCTGTATACTGGACATCGTTGTTCCTGGTTCTGGTTTCATTCTGTTTTGGATTTTCATAATAGTGTTTCTGGTTTTTTGGCTTTATGCGTATTCTGGTTCCAATTGGCTTATTTATTTGGCATGGTTCACAGTCAAAATTAGTTGAATATCTTGGATGGTTGTTTTGTTGTATGAGTTTTGTTTGGGGATTGTCTCTTGCTTTTGTCGTCCAGTGATGTTGTGCTGCAGTGTGTTCATGTTCTATAACACCCCATTGTTTCACTCTTTTTCCTCCGAGTAGGCTTAGGGAGGTTTTTTAATGAGGTTTTTTAATGAGGTCTTTGGGGAGTTCTCTTTGTAATACTACTCGTATAATACAAAGGATATTTTTACAAAAAAAAAAAGAAAGAGCACTTAAATATATAAAAAATAAAAGTAAATTTGAAATTGAAATTGTTTGACAAATAATATAAAGTAAATTTTATTGGAAAAACTTGGACTTTTAATTTTGAAAAATCTAAAAAAAAAAACTTGAGGGATCTGGACTAACAAATTCTACCCATTTTACGCGAAATACAAAAATCCGTTTTGTAGAGGTACTGTTAAATTCCACGGAATAATTAATGAATCTACTAATAAGATTATGTCCTTAAATTAATCAAGAGCATTGGTAAGACAAGTATAACCGATGTACAATTCAAAAAGAATATTATTTTAGTAATGGTATATTCCTTTAGTCAATAAATAAATAATTAGAATATAGCATACTTATGGAAATAGACTTAGAATTAAACTATATACGTTGGAAATTTCTCTTTCTATTTTTTAAATAATCTAGGGTGATTATAAGATAACATATGTTTAACAAAAATTAATTAATTGATGAGGTATACATACATTGCAAAAGCAACTATTTGAACCCATGATTTTTAGGGAAAATAATATTTTTTTACCTCTAAGATCACTTGATGTATTCATTTATCTCTTACGTTACTCTTAAATAAAATTTACGCACTTTATAAGTGATATTATTCAAATTTTTTTAATAGTTTGAGATGATTAAAAGATAATATTTGTTTAGAATATTCTTAATCAATTTATAACGTATACATCCCCACAAATACTACTTAAAACCCTAGTAAAACATCTATTTTATCATTAATTTCGTTTAAATTATTTAAATCTAAGAAAATATTACATTTTTTACTTATAAATAAATAGAGTATCCTAAAATGTTTTTTTGGTAATAAATAAATATAAATGTAATAAATAAAGAAAATAGAATTGCTGGCAAATTCTTTTCCTTCAACGTTCCGTAGTTTTGGAGAATGAATGCGGTAGGGTCGGTGGAAGTCAAAATCCAAATCTTGAAATAGTGAGAGAAGTTGCCGTTTCAGTAAGAAGAAATTCCTTCAACATTACGCCTGACGGTGCTGATGTGGATATTATTGTCCCCTCGTGTTTTTTTTTTTTTTTACTTTTGTTTCATCCGACCGTCAAAACTAGACAACCGCTAACTTTACCTATCCCAATCCCATTGTTTCCCGCACTTCTCCCCTTTGGGGCCTTCAATTACTTTTTTATTCTAAAATATCTCAAGCAATTATATTTATTTTATTAATAAACTATTTTGTATTTATATTTATAATACGAGACTGATCATTTTATCTCTAATTTTTTAGTAGTTTTATCTCGAATCTTTAAATGTATACTCTTTTTATTGAGAATTGTATATATTTTATTATTGTATTCGATACTCATTGATAATTATTAATGAAATAATGTAAAATCAAGATACGCGAAAAAAATCTCAAAACCTTCAAATTATAATATAAAATAATTAAAAATTATATATTTTTATTTCCTTTTATAGGATTTTCCTGTAATGCTCTATTGCAGTTGCATTTTTTGGACGTTTATTATATTTTTTTTTTACATCAAGACAGCGGCGGTGGCTTTCCACGATCATTTCCCTATTAATTTAATTTTTGTTTCTTTCTTCAGTTATTTTAAACTACAGTTTATTTTTTTCTTTTTCATTTTTTTATATGCCATGGTATCAATTTGAGTATTGATTGTTGTTCCTTTATTTAATTTTCTTATTTCTTATTTTTACTTTTTTTTTTGTTTCTAATAACTCTTCTTTTATGACACTTTTGTTTGTTTTTCTTCAGTCTTCTAGTCGTTTTGTCATTTTTTTCTCATGGTTGAATTTGACGTTGCCACGACTGATCAAGATAATGCTCATTTGTTATTTGTTATCCTGATGATATTCTCTATTTTGGATCCTCGAATTGGATTTGGATACGCAACATGCATTCGTAGATAGTATTCTCACGATGTTTGGCTCTGATTTGCGTTTACTGATGGCCTTTCAGTAGTTAAATCCCATATTGTATTTCGTTTGCCGTAGTTGTCATATTCATTTGTATCTACCTATTGTTTGAGTTTTTTGGATGGATTTTTTACCTTTTCGTTGTATAATCTTTATATAATATTAAGGAGTTAGTGTTTGTATTGGTTATGAGAAAATATTATAATCGTGTGATTTAATTTACAAATATAGCTATAAATTCCCATTGTAATTTTAATTTTTTTCTTAATAATATTTATTGCTTTTATTTCAAAAAAAAATATTATACTATTAAATTCAATCAAATATTTTGGCCAAAATCAATATTTGAGCCTATTGAATTTAACTTATAAGACAATATTCCCTATATTCAATTGAGTTTGTCATTATAACCTTAAATTCTTAATAAATTCAAGAAACCATAGTTTTTTCTTTTAAAAGCAAATTCAACATAACTTGTTTGAAGGGTCAATGAAATTTCGCGGGGCAAAGATTTGGTCAAATGTTTGTGTGTTCCCTTTCCTTGTCAAAATCAAACGTACAGCCTTGCATTTCAATTCAACTATAGAAGTAAAACCAGCGGACATGAAGATTCCAGCAGTTAACCCAGATTTTTCCATCAATGGCTCCCCTCTATATATACACTTGCAAACCAACAATGATTTTCATCAGTTATAACCAGAAAACAAAGTTTAGGGTTTCCTTTTACTTTTCTTCATCGTTTCAAACCCATGCATATTCAACGTTATTCATCGGAAGCCATAAAAATGATGAACTTCCACCGCAACTTTCTCGCTCTCCAAACACCAACCAATCCCCCCAATGCGACGAACAAAGCCTGCGATGTTTTCATCAACCATCGAGGCATCGACACCAAGAGAACGATAGCGAGCTTGCTGTACGATCGTCTCTCTCGGCTAGACCTTCAACCTTTCTTGGACAACAAGAACATGAAACCCGGAGATAAGTTGTTCGACAACATCGATAACGCCATAAAGAATTGTAAGGTCGGCGTCACGGTTTTCTCGCCGAATTATTGCAAGTCTTACTTTTGCCTCCATGAATTGGCTCTCTTCATGGAGTCCGGAAAGAAGATTATTCCAATCTTTTGCGACATTAAGCCGTCGCAACTCGCCGTCGTCGACGACGGAAAAGTTCCGGCCAAAGACTTGCAGAGGTTCAAATTCGCTCTGGAGGAGGCAAAATATACTGTTGGCCTCACCTTCGACTCTTTAAAAGGGTAAGGCGATAATCAAATCATTATAATATATTTAATATATTTAATTCATACAATCATTTCATTAATTTTATTTTACGTAGGAATTTTTCCGATGTGGTGACGAATGCTTCCGAAATTGTGATGGAGAGCTTGATGGAGATGGAAAGCAGTGATTAAGAGATTGAAACAACACTCAAATCACTCGTTGATTCGAACTCAAAGATCTGCACGTAAATGAAAATAACTAAAGATTTAATTCATTGCATTTTACTTGGTTTTAATTATCTTTCATTCATCATCTTCCATGTTAATAAGGTTCAAGTTATATTCTTTCCTGTGCTAATCCATTTTCATCTTGTAACAAGAAAAACAATTACTTTTGAATGTTTGATTCGTTTGTACAATTACACTTGGTTTTAATAAGATTCAAATTAATGGTGTTCTTATTTATTTAGATTTATTTTCATTACTGATGTATGATATTATTGATAATTAGAGGAATTCCATTTGATGTTCAAAATTCAAAGATTGGTCTCATGGCTATCCTAAACCAAACTACATTCAAACGGAAAATGCCAATAAATTAATGTTATATAATATATACAGATAGAAATCTATTTATATTGGTGTCAAATTGTAATTTTTTTTAAAAAAAAAATTAATATTTTAACAATGCAATGCAGTTCACAATTTATATTTTTAAACTCTTAATAGAATGGGTTATTTTGATTGAACGCCGGATATTAATTCGATGCTCTTATTTATTTTTAGCAGTTACTACTTGCTTTAAATATAAAATATATGATGCACGTAACAATTTACCTTAGTGGTTAAAGGAATAATTATACATTATTTATAAAAAAAAACCAAATATTTTAGTAATGAAGTTCATAATTCATATTATATTAAAATATAATACATTTATATTTTAAATAAATTAAAAAGTATAACTGTTTTTAAGGTAAAAAAAACCCTCCAAGTTTTAATTGTCAAATACATATTAATGAAAAACATCGTCCTTTATCATTATGATAAAATTAACAAATTTATTTAAAAATTTACATGTATGATAATTATACTTATATTAATAAATTCAACCGTTAAATTATTAAAATATAGAAGAATCCAATCAAATCCAATCTAATTTTTTATATTTGTTTGAGAAGAATACAAGTAGGGGTGAGTAAAACTTGATTCGATTCGAAAATCAAAATTTTCGACTCTAATCAACTAGAAAAAACTCGACTTGAATTAACTTCGAGTTATAATTTCATACATTTGACTCGACTTGAAAAAAGTTCAAGTTCAAATCGAGTTGTAAAATACAACTCGAATAACTCAAAATTTTTAGTAATAGTATATTGATTTTCAAGTTTAAGTCGAGTACCTCGACTTTGTATAATATATGTATATCACGCGTGAAAAAATATGAAGAATATATATATATATATATATATATTGTATATTGTTGTAAAAAACCCATTTAAATTGTAAAAAAGTAATATTATAAATATTTATAATTAAATTTAAACAGTAACTCAAAAATTAGACTCGACTCAAATCGAAAAATATTCAAGTCAAGTTCGAGTTATAAAGTAGGACACGTCAACTTGAATAACTCAATTTTTTGACTCGACTCGGTCAAGCACTCACCCATAATTACAAGGTAGTATATGTTCAAAAGGCTCTCAACTATTTGACAATGAACGATCAAATACACTTGTAGACGTCGTGCTCAAACCCCATACCTCTAAAAACAACAATTATCCATTTAACTATTGCGATTGTTTGATTCATGCAATCTAGCTTTTTAATATAAGTTTAATCTAATCGTTCATAACATATAATATCCAATATCTTATACTCTTTTACCTATAAATATTCTTAAAACGAATGACTTAAGATTTAGGAAGTTTGATTGGAGGAAAGCTAAAGGCAGAAGAAGAGTGGGTTAAAACTTTTGAATCTTTGATCTCATTCTCACTTGCAAATTAGAAAAGGGATGTGAATGGAAAGATTTAGAATTAGCAGCATATATCTTGTACCGATTAAATTAATCACATATGCTTAAGTCCACGTAGAGATTTATGTCTCCTCAACTGATTCTGTGTTATTACATTTTTCATATATATCATCAACCCCACCAGCAATCAACATTTACACTGCCTTTTCACTGTTTCCAATGACTCATCAGTCATCACATATTTTTTCAAACTGGTATAACATTTATCAGCAGATTATGTGTCATTTTTAATATTTTTATTTGATTATTACGATAGTGACACATGTCATCATTGTATTTATCAAAGAAAATTTATGCTGCTTGTGTGTTGGGGAGAAGATTCAAACCCTAGACCTCTGTAGCATCCGTTATGAACTAAGTCGAGATTTTGTTAAATTTTAACATTATATTTCTTCATATTAACATCATGTCTTTTTACGTTAACATCGTGTATCTTTTGAAGGTATGCTTATTGTTTAAAACCAGTGTTTTATTTCATTGAATAAACTGGAAATTTAAGCTTTAAAATGACTGCATTTTCATGTTTTATTATTCTGCAGTTTGTTGATGTTGTTTATTTGGTCAAATTCCGCAAAGGTGGTAATAATTTCGGAAAGAAAACGAGTTCCGGTGAGAAGGTGATCTTAAATGGGATCAGTGGGATGGTTCAACCAGGGGAAATATTAGACATGCTCGGCCCATCTGGCAGTGGCAAAACTAAGCTATTGACTGCACTAGGTGGTAGCCTAGGCGGTCACCTCACCAGCTCGATAACTTACAACGACAAGTCTTTCTCCAATTCGATGAAACGGAACACCGGATTCGTCACTCAAGACATTGTTCTGTACCCTCACTTGACCGTGACCGAGACACTCGTTTTCACCGTGCTTCTTCGACTTCCTAATAGTTTCACTAAACAAGATAAGATCATGCATGCCGAAGCCATTATCGATCTACTTGAACTAGTTAATTGCAAGGATTGCATCGTTGTGGACCCATTTCTGAGAGGAGTTTCGAGTGGGGAACAAAAAAGGGTTAGTATAGGTCAAGAAATGCTTATAAAGCCGAGCTTGTTGTTCATAGACGAGCCTACAATGAGTCTGGATTCGACCACGACACAGAGGATTGTGTCGATGTTGTTGGAGCTAGCTAAAGCTGGAAGAACGATTGTGTTAACAATACACCAGCCGTCGAGTAGGCTGTTTTACATGTTCCATTAGGTTCTGCTGCTATCAGAAGGTAACCCTCTAATGGTTTATTTCTCGAGCATCGTGTTTGCCCCATTGGTCGCCATGAGCCCTTCGGATTTTCTATTGGACCTTTCCAATGGTTTGCTTTTAATCTCGCTTGTGCAAATTGATCTTGTATAGGGTAAATTTTGCATTATTAATTGAATCCTGTAATGTTTATATAGGTGTAACATCATCAAATAAATCCCTAAATGAGCAAACCCTTGTGAAGAAAACACTAGTTTCAGCATACAAGAGCAATATTGTCGAGAAACTAAAGGAAGAGCTTAAGGATAACGACAACAACCGCCATCACGATCAAACCGAGAACAAGATGTTCGAATGGTGGTGGTGGACTTGGTGGAAACAGTTCAACATATTGCTTCAAAGGGGACTCGAGGAAAGGAAACATGAATCATTCTCCATATTCAACACCGGCGAGGTCCTCTCTGTAGCTGTTCTTTTTTTGGAGTATTATGGAGGCAATCCGATATTGCTAACATGCAATACCAAGTATGAATCAAAATTAATCTTTGAATTGTCAATCCAGCATTGATCTTTGGTTATGGCATATGAAAACAGACTGAAGTGTAGTTCATTTTACAAACATACATATTTGATTATGTTGCCGAAGACGGCTATCGGATAGAGAAAAATCGCAACTGTTAATTTGAGAAAAAAAATGAAGATAAAGAAGACACAAAATTTATGTGGAAAAAAATATAGGGTAAAAACCACGGACAACGGTAGAAGAATTTCACTATGAGAAAATAGGAATTACAACTTCTCTCGATCTACCAAGGAGAAAACAATGATAATTCTCTCTTGATAAAAAAGAGAAAACAACTCTCAAGAAACTATCTAAATTCTCTCTAGTATTAGAAGAAAGCTAGAATGCTTTGGGATGATTTTGAAGCTAAATGAGCTAGGGTATTTATAGTTGAAGCTTAAGGACTAATTTGTAAATACCCTAAATTATAATGACTAAAATTGAGATTAGCCCTTTACCAAAAAAGCAACCTTTGCTGCCACTTTTCCACCGCCTTTGAAAAATTGCACCATTCGGTGCCTACCTTGTCTTGTGGAATTTTCAACAATCTCCCACTTGAAGATTTGATTGGAACAATCATATCTTCACACCATTCTTTCTACCTTGTACCTTCATGTTGCTTACGTCTCTGACAGACCACAAGAGGATCGGCACCAAGTAAATTTATCAGCGTTGATCGCCTTTGTCATGAAATCTGCTATGTTGTCTTTGGTATGGATCTTCTGCATATCTACCATTCATTCTTCCACCTTTTCACGAATGAAATGGTATTGAACTCGTATGTTCTTTGTCCTTGAATGAATTACTGGATACCTTGCTAGATGTAAGGCGCTTTGACTGTCACAAAACATAGAGACATACTCTTGATTGTGCCCAAGCTCCTCCAATAACATCTTCAACCAAATTGCTTCTTTACTGGCTTGTGTAGCTGCTACATATTCTGCCTCTGTTGTGGATGTAGCCACAACTGACTGCAATTTTGAAACCCAACTTACAGCTCTACCAGTAACTTTGAACACATATCCTGTTGTAGATTTGCTTTTATCCAAATCCTCTGCATAGTCAGAATCTACATACCCATTAATTAGTAAGTTTGATCCTCTGTAACATAATGCAACATTTGAGGTCCCTTTGATATATCTCAGGATCCTCTTTACTGTATTTCAATGCTCTTTGCCTAGATTCTCCATGTGCCGACTAACCACTCCTACTGCTTGTGCAATGTCTGGTCTTGTGCATATCATAGCGAACATTAAACTTCCCACTACTGATGCATACGGTACTCGAGACATCTCCATCCTCTCTTCTTCACTGCTAGGACTCATACTGGAGGATAATTTGAAGTTAATAGGAAGAGGGGTAGAAATTGGCTTACAATCTTGCATGCTGAATCGTGACAAGATCTTCTTCAAGTAATTCTTTTGTGAAAGCCAAATCTTCCTATTACTTCTGTCTCGGTGAATTTGCAT